TGGCTAGAGACCCTCCATCAGCTGCTCTAAATTTTCGTAAAATTTAATAGCAACCTCCTATTTCTGAGCTCTGTGCTTCTCTGTGAACATTTCTTCTGATTCTAAACCTCAGTTTGACATCTCATTCTCACCTGGGGGAAGGCGAGGGAACGGGTTAAGATCCCTTGACTTAAATACTTGATCCCCTCTAGCTAAAAACTGTTTAGTTTTTTACTTTACTTGCCTGCAAATATGATTATTGTTCTATTTTAAAGCACACAGAGAGCTGTGCAGCTTACCAGCCTTGCCTTCTAGATGTTCATCACGCAGCCCAAGCTGGTTGCCCCGTGGACAAGAAGAGGCACCTGGAGAGGGTGACAGTGCCATAAACAGCTCGCAGGATGGTGTTGCCCACCCTTCTTTCCAGTGCTTGCACTTTTTCTTTCTACCCAGTGATTTGGAAGAAGTCTAGGCAATGAACTCTTTAAGTGGCTGGTCTCCAAAGTCCTCCACGCACATTTATTTTTATCTACATGCTGCGGCTAGTATTTGATAAGCAGTTAAGCCATTCTGCTGACATCATTCCCACTCTCCCAGCTTTGGGCTGTTATCCCCATATTTATTCCTGACTGAAGCAAAGCCCATCCCAGTCACATTGGCAGCAATGAATGCTTCCAGAAATCTGCCTGCATATGTCTCCAGCAGCTTAAAACCTGATCTTGCAGCCTGAAGTAAGGCCCTTTTTAATCACGTGTAGTTTAAGGAGCCTGGCTGCAAGTGCTCTTTGTTTTAATTCATTAGTTTGAACGCTTGCATGATAAATGAAGATGATTCCTGCTGCATTGCCCTACGGGGCAGCCCTTCTGTGCTCTATTAAAGAACTGGGAAGTTATTTTGTAAACGAGGGAGATTAGCTCTGCGTTGCTGCTACATTTAGTCTGTTGGATCACTTAGTGTAGATCATTCTGCCAGTTCAACTTACGAAGGAAGGGAAGATTTTTTTGGCTGCGGGACTAAAGAGGTATTGTTCAGATACACATAACGTGTTAGCTTGAGTAGCCTTGTCATAACAAGTTCTTTAAAACCTCTCCTGGTCCCACACGCTAATTAATGTCTCACCCTTTTACCCACAAGGCCTAGATTTACAAAGGAATTTAGGCATGTTTCTTTTTCGGAGGAACTTAAATTTACATGCCCACCGGAACGATTTATTAAGCTGCTTCTCTCAAGCTAATTAGACACCACGGGTTTTCATGCTGGTCTACAGGGACGCTTAAATTGCTGCTGCTACTGCACCTTCATAGAAGAGTTGCTGTTGTGCCTAAGCTGGACTGATCAGCACTTGCTGAAGGTAATTTGGGGTTTGCCAAGCAGTCAGTCCCGTGCCATACTTTTTGACATGAGTATTTTTGTCCTTTAAAGAGTCATTTTTGACCTTTAAAGAGTCTAGTGTAAGAGAAATGCCTTCGAGCAAGTTTAAAGCATAGTTCAGTGCATCAAACAGAGCAGTGGCAGATATTCATCTATTCGTCACTCATATAGCAAAAGCTTTGCTTTAGTTTTGATGTTTCCAAGAATTACTTATATTTTGTATGATAGTTTGGCTCTGCAGCTTCAGGAGCTAGGATTAAATTTAGGATTACTTTCTGCTCTTCTCTCCCTACATGACCTCCTCATCCACGATGGCTTTTAGGCTTTTTAGATCACCTGGCAGCACAAAACATGAGCTATATTCAGCAGGAGGACCCACCTCAAACACGTCTGTAAGCTGCTGGTCAGGTCACTGTGGTTGTCATGAGACTTGTCTGGACCCTTTTCTGCCTGCTTACATCTCAGGCAAGAACTTTTATCACTAAAATACCATGAAAAGAGTCAATATCTTTGTGCCTATTTTGAGAAACATACATCTGTACTTAAATTCACAGCGCACAGTTGAAATTCTTCCAGGATTAGGTTTTGATCTCTTAAACGCCTGTCCCAGGGCTGTGGATGGTTGAATAAAATTCAGAAAAATGGCAGACTTTCCCATAAACCTTTCTCATCGTTATGCCTGAATCAGGACATAAGAAGCTGTCACTGCTGCAGATCTGAGGCTTTGGCATCAAAATCTTCCTGCACTGTGCGGAGGACAGAGGATCTTGAAAGTTCTGCACGTAGCTTATAAACTGGTCCAGCTCTTGCTGCTGAAGTCTCTTGGTGGATCTAAACCCAAACTGTCAACAGAAAAATTAACAAGATTAAGCTGTTCTGCATGAAAAAAGTTAGCCCATTTTGTTTGTACAACGTGAATTATTCTGACTGCTCCTCGTCTTCTATTTCAAATGTGTGGGTTGTTCCCCTGGGATCTGCAGCCCTCCTGGGTTTCTGTTCAGTAGGAATAAAGTCCTGATTGATTCATCCCTGGCATCTTGATAGAAACCAAGCACAGTGGTGGCGTTATTGTTGTTGCAGGGGGTGTTGTACTGGAATTGGATTTGAAAACAGCCCATTTCTCTTGGAAGAAGAAAACAATAAATGTCCTTTAAGTTTGAAGAGTAGCTTGTATGAGAAAGGCTTCCCCTTGATTCCCCACCTCCTTTTTTTGAAATGCATCCCTGCTCAGCATTTTAAACGGTGCTAGGAATAAAGATAACAGGTTTTCTAACCTAAAACACTCAACTGAGCATGTAACCCACCTCTCCTCTTTGCCTGTCTCCTTCTGAGTCCCCACCATGATCCCAGGCTGTGCTTTGGGCTCGGTTTTGTAGGGAGAGCAGAAAGAGGGAAGCCTTCCCTGCCCAGTTCCACAAGGTGCAGCCTTGTTTCTACTCACCAAGGTGTGAGGTGCATTTTGCAACATCTCTTCAGTAAGACATCACAGCATTGCAGGTAGGAGGGAGGTAATTCAGCTCACAATGTCTCTGTCTGGAGTGAATTCTGGAATCAGCAGAGCCTTAGTTATTTTGTACTGAAAAACTTAATGAACGGTGGCCTGTAGTAATCAGATACCACTGGTCTTTGAGGAAATCATTCACATAAAAGAAGGATGATTCACCCTTTGACCCAAAAATGCATCTTGAATATGGTCTGGCTTTATGAATCTTGGAATTTGTGGATTATGGAATTTGGGAGTAAATTCCTGAAAGTTACCATTCGATAGTAAAGACTCCAATCACTTGATAGAGCAAAAGACTTTCTGCATTTTGCTATTAAAATCGGAAATGTGCTTCTCTCTTTTCTTCCATGTGCTCTTTCTTAAGGAAGATTCAGCAAGCCTGAAGGAAATGTGGACAAAGCTAAGGCTTGAGATAAACAGAATCCGATCAAATTTGTAATGCTGAGTGCTCATTTCTGAGCCAAGGCTGAAAGGATGAAGCTGGAGGAAGGGAGGGGAAAGCAAAGCATCCCTGCTATACATCTGCAGTGCACATTGCCTAAGCAGAGCTTGCAGGTGCCCTGCCTCAGATTTTTGGTTGTCATATTTATTTGTAAGATGTCTTATTTATTTGTAAAATGACATAATGGTTGATTGCACAGGGGTTGGATAAAGTATTTAAAAGCCACGTATAAAAGTATCTGGTCAGAAAGGGACTGAGGGCTAATCCCTGAGACTGCTTAGGAGCATCTGTGCCACATGCTGCTTTTTGTCTGAGCATCTCCATGCTCTGAACCTTTGCAGACAGAGCTATGAATGTTGTTAGTTTGCGTTTTAAAGGCCAAACTGCAGCTGCAATTTAAGAAGAAGGCTGTTGGGTTTGCTGCTGGCTGCATGTTGGGTGCTTATCTCTCTCCTCCACTGTCTGCAACTGTAAATTCTGACGAGCAGCCTTTCCTGAAGGTAATTGGGGTGGTTAGAGGAGAGGAGCGAGCCCGACACGTGTTTTAAGGGGCAGCCTGGGAGGAAGTGAGATGGGAAAGGAAATTAAAGAGCAGCAGTACCGCAAGCAGCCCTCCCGTGGGGACGCTTATTTTTCACAGAGGGACCTTTTGCAATCTAGCTTATCCTATTTACAAGTGGAGGAAAAAGACTGGGATGGAAAAGGATCCACACGAGGGGCTATTCATAACCGCCGTTACAGGATTTTTCCCTGCAAGACAAATCCCAAAATGTATCAGGCGTTGAGTAGAGGAAGAGTTCCTCTGAAACGAAGCTAATGAAGGAGACTTGCACTGACAGCAGTTGAATTGTGGTTGTGTATTCTGAAGGTTAGTAATAGCTGTGTTAAAATAGGGAAGGAAAACTGAACTGGGCACTTAATACACAACATATAATTTGCATACGGGGTGGTGATTATATTTGGGTAAGGATTAAACCTCACCGAACACACCCCAGATGATGTAAAGCGGATGTTCCCAATTACAGACCCCGAGACAGCGTTAGCGGTCTGGGGAAACGGTCTGAAACTGTAAAACTGAACTTGTTAAATTGAAGCTTGATTACTTCGTCTTCCTCAAGAAGCGGAGGTTGACGGTTATCCAAAAAAGCTTCGGAACGGTTGGCACAGAAAAAGCAAAAGATCTGGCAAAAATCATCCCCTGCAAAATAGCCAAGTTAGCGTGGCTTTTCTCCTTTGTGTAGCTGTCGGGAAAGTCCAGTGTTGGAAGGAAGTTGTTCGTAGAGGATTCAACCATTATTACTCACTTTTTGAGGAGTTTATGATGGCCCAGCACAGGCCATAAATACATAAATACACGGTCAACAGTAATAATTCATAAAGTGCAGCTTGGTCCTATAAAATGGTGTTAACAGTCCGAATTAGCATAATGTGGTGGTTTCTTGGGTGATTGACTCTTCAACCATGGAGTTCTGTAAATGTTCCCCGCACGATCTTGCCGGCTTTCAGTAAAGCTGTCCTCTGGGGTGTCTTCCGCAGTTCATACAGCATTAAACACGTTTGGGGTTTTAGCACTTCAGGATACAAGTGGTTGGCCAAATGGAGCTCGGGGTTGGGATAAAATAATTGCTCCAGCCTTTGGTGAAACATCTGCGCTGCTCGCGAGCACGCCTGACGGCTCTGATTTATCCTTCCCTTCCTTTGTAGTGATCGACACCATACATCCAGTGCAATTCCCGTTCCAAAGAGACAGAGCTCCAGCTTCGGCAGGTTGGACGTCGGCTTTTCCAGCGGGCTTCCTTCTCCGGATAAAGGACTCCGAAAACGAGCCAGCACGGGAAACGAGAGACTGCAGCACAAGACTCCTCCTCCTAGTTACAACTCCGCTTTAACTCAGCCCGTAGCCATCGCAGCCCAGGTGGGAGAGCCGGATAAAAAACCTGCCTCCATACCTTCCTCCTTCGATACCTCTGCGGACTCCTCGAAAGGGCTCGCCAAGGAAGGAGAGGACTCGTGTGGCGGTTTGAACGGGGAAAACGGGAGCCTAACCGGTAGCCAAGACCGGCAGGAATCTTTCGTAGGACATCCTAGTGCAATAAACGGGGCGTTGCTGCCCGCTGAGTGCGCCGGCACCGCCAGCAGCGAGCAGCCTCGCGAGTTTCGGCCCCCGCTCGGCCCCGTCCTCTGCTGCACTGTGGAGCAAGCGGAGGAGATAATGGGGATGGAAGCGACGGGCTTCAGCCCGGGAGATCAGCTCGAAGACTTTAACTCCATCCCGGTGGAGCACGCCGTGGCGGTGGAGTGTGACGAACAAGTCCTCGGGGAGTTTGAGGAGTTCTCTCGAAGGATCTATGCACTGAACGAAAACATGTCCAGCTTCCGCAGACCGCGGAAAAGTTCGGACAAGTGAGCTTGGACAAGGGGGAGGGGTTGAGAGCAGACGTTGGGGTGGAATCAGTGATCTGGAATAGAGATAAAATTGCACTTATTCTTTATATTAATTATATATATTAAAAAAAAAAAGAAAAAACCTTAAAGCTATTCCTATGGTGTTAGAAAAAATGACTTGTTACTGAGCACGATAACACAGGATCATGGTATATTCACAGCCCAGGTAAATTTTGATTCTTCCAGTCCTCTTATGTCTGGTATTTATAATTTGTTGTTGTTTTTTTTTTTTTTTTTTTTAAGGCAATGGAGTCCATTTCTAAATGCTTTCCTGGAAAAAAAAAAAAACAAGTGCTGATCAGGCCCTCCTATGAATATTTGTTTCATTGATTATTATTTAGAGCTAAATTTATTTTTGCCGTTACAGAAGGAAAAAAGTTAATTTAAAATTACAATTATGGTAAGACCTCTTCATGTTTTCCTATGTCCTCCTGTGTTTGCACCCATGGGTCTTCAGCTGACGGTGGTGAAACCTTGCCCAAGAGCTGAGCACCTGGGGGATTTCTGCACTTCCTTGTGCAAGAATCAGTTTTATTCTTTCCTCCACTCTCACCATTTCTGCCAGCAGAGCCCTTGAGGGCTAAATCTCCTTAAGGTTTCTCCCAAAAGCTGTGGCCGTTCCCTTGGGGGTTGGAGTGCCCTGATCCTCAGCACCCACCACAGGCCCTGGGCTTCCAGGCCCCTGTGCAAACATCTTCGAAAAATAAAAAAAAAAAATAAAAACCAAAAACCCAGATGGAAAACACAGCACTTTGGAATTAGGTGAACTTGGGGAATCGCTCCACCCTCTGCAGAAAGGGAGGCGCTTCCCATTATTCCTCAAAATTAATATCCTCCTAACTCTACCATCTGTGCTTTCAAGGAGGAATCTTCCTGCTGGAGGTGTGGGTTGGTGTCAGCTCGGTTCCCCCCGGCACGTGTGTTCAGCTGCACTAACGGGAAAGCAAATTGCAGCCTGCTTTGTGATTCCTGGTATTTGTTTGAGTTTGGATTTCATTGCTCTTGCTTTCTATATTGTATACCCAAGAATTTGGGCTCGGTCATGAGCTCAGAAATATTAAAAAAGCAAATATATAGCAGAATAAAAAACACTTCATCACTGGCTTTTTTTTTTTTTTTTTTTCCCTCCCTGGTCTCTGCTTTCTTTTTGAACCAGTGACCTGGTCTTTCTCCTAACCGCACCGTAAGGCTAGCCGAAATTAACTCCTCAAAACGTGGCTGTGTATAATCTCAACTATCTGTTGTCGAACCAAGATGTGTATGTGAGAACCAGTATCCATAATAGCACTGCTCTAGAGTATGCATTCTCCAGGTAACACCTTAATGATTGTATTAAAGCTCTATTCACACTTCTTCTGTTAGCTCTTAACAGCTCTGTCCGCAGTTGAGTTATTGCATTGAGCCTTTCTACGGTTGATTCCTGATTGAACACGATTCCAGTTCGGGCATGAATTTGGGCACGTTTGTGAGTATCGTCTCATGAGAGGAGACTTTTCTGTTCTAGCCTCATGCAAAGTCCCTGGAGGAAGCCCTGCAGCAGCGCTGAGCACTGCCATCATCTTTGTAGGGAGCTTTCCCTGTGCTTTGGTGTAGGGAGAGCCAGAAAGGAAATGCTTGAACCAAGCACAGCACATTTCCTTGAGGTGAGCAGAAGCTGCTCTGTCCCGTAACTCGATCTCTTCTGAGAGCAGAACAATTTTAGGCAAAATGCAGCACTGAGGGGTAAAACCTGGCACACGAAAACAGCACAGGACGGGCTTAGGCACGCTGCTTTTCCTCCAGCTGTGTGCGGCGGTGACTTTCCAAAGCAACCCAAAGAGCAGCGGCGAAGTCGCGATGCCTCCTAGGCAGACACGGGGCATCTCGGTGCAATTAAGCAACCCGTGTAATTAGGTTTGTAGAGTATCAGCCAGACTCGGGCTTTTTCTCACTAGCTGCACGTTTTCTCAGGTGGCACCCAACCAAATGAAGTTGAGTTCCCTTGCGTTGCCGTCCCTGTGTGAGCCCTGCCTGTCACACAACAGTTGGCTTTTTTTTCTTTTCTGTGATTTTTCCTTTCCCCCCCATAAATTATTTGACCATAGCATAGTGGGAGGGAAACAACAAGCGTCAACCGAAGGTGAGATGATTTATCACAGCGTGCTTTAAACTGGCAAGAGTCTCTCGGTTCCTGCACAGCTGTGACACTGTTAAATGTCTGCAAAGGGAGCACACATTTCGTTGCAATCTTTTCCCCTCGCTAGGAATTCCTGAGATTTTTGAGAATATTAGTTTTGGAAGATCATATCCCACTCTATTTTTATAGCAAGCACAACAGCGTCGGCTTATCCTTGCTTGGCCAGGTATTTAAAACAAGCGAAAACAAAATATCCCATAGTAAATGACACATTAAAACTATGTTGGTAATTGCGGGAAAGCTCATCTGTATTTATAAAATAAAACTGATTAGTATCTCTCAGAAGTCGTGCGTCTTCTCTTGGTGGCTCCTCGCTGTTTGTTTTCTCTACGAGCCTGATTTCAACCTCTCAGTCCTCCCAGCCCCCCTCCCAAACCCTTTGGCTTGCCGTTCAGCAAGCCCCTATTGATCCAAACGTGAATATTTGGGCAAGGAGCCTTGCTGGAAGACCCGACTGCCTCGCTGGCTCCGTTTCACACGAGAAGGTGCAGCGGTTGTTTGTCTCCATCGTCCAAAAAGATGGCACGCAGCTGGAAAAACAGCCACGGCCGGCGGTGGGGTTGGGAGGCAGCTGGGTCCCTCCAGCTGCGTTCCCTCCTCGGGGAGGCATTGCTGCTCAGATGGCACCTTCTGCATCAGTAGCATCCCTCTGCTCCTTCCCTTCCCTTCCCAAGCAGCCAAAGAAGTTATTTCTCCTTCGGTTATGTCCTAATCTATGTCCAAGAAGGCTGTAACGTGCCAACGAGCACATCAGCTCCTGCGAGATTTCATTGCTGGTTTGTTTATCAACTTATTTTGTAGAAAGCAGCACCATTTTACATTTTGTTTTACCTTTTCCAATTTTAAAAAAGGAGGCTCAGGGGTGACCTTATCGCTCTCTACAGGTACCTTAAAGGAGGCTGTAGTGAGGTGGGGGTTGGCCTGTTCTCCCACATGCCTGGTGACAGGATGAGGGGGAATGGGCTTAAGTTGCACCAGGGGAGTTTTAGGTTGGATGTTAGGAAGAACTTCTTTACTGAAAGGGTTGTTAGGCACTGGAACAGGCTGCCCAGGGAAGTGGTGGAGTCACCATCCCTGGAAGTCTTCAAAAGACGTTTAGATGTAGAGCTTAGGGATATGGTTTAGTGGGGACTGTTAGTGTTAGGTTAGAGATTGGACTCAATGATCTTGAGGTCTCTTCCAATCTAGAAATTCTGTGATTCTGTTATACCGGCTCTGATAGATAAACCTAAACCACTACCCACCAAAAAAATACAAATAAATAATCACAAAAATCACTTTCAGGGGGATCACAGAGGATTCATTGATGCAGCTCTGTTAAGCAAAGAACTTGAGAAACTTACACAGACGGTGCTCTCTGATATTGTGCATTTTTTGGTGTCTTTGGTTATAAAAAGTGTCTGCAGGACGGTGTTTGCTCTCTGGTCTTGCTTTCAGGAGGCTGCCTCATGATCTGAGACCACAAAAAGCCTCGGTGGACTTTGGGGATGTCTCTTGGGGTGTCTCCTGTTTGGCTGAAGGGCAGGGGGGCATCTCCAAAACTGGGACATCCCCACGTGTGGGGTGAGGCCCTGAGTCACTCTGCTCTGTGGGCCTTCTGTTGGAGGGGTATGGAAGGTCCCTGCAACGCCTCCTGTTTCCACTCCCCATCCACATTTACCACAACTGGGTGGGTCTAGGGCTGGGCTGAGTCTTCAGGCTGGTCTTAGCCAACCTGTTATGCTGTGTGGGCCGTGAATTTTAGCTAGATTTGTCAGTTTAAGCCTCAAGAGCCTCGAGTGCTGGGTTCAGCTTTGGGCCCCTCACTCCCAGAAGGACATCGAGGCCCTGGAGCGTGGCCAGAGAAGGGCTCCGAAGCTGGGGAAGGGCCTGGGACACAAGTCCTGTGAGGAGCGGCTGAGGGACCTGGGGGGGGTTGGGCTGGAGAAGAGGAGGCTCAGGGCAGAGCTTATTGCTCTCTGCAACTGCCTGAAAGGAAGGGGTGGGGAGCTGGGGGGCGGCCTCTGCTCACAGGGAACCAGGGCCAGGAGCAGAGGGAACAGCCTCGAGTTGTGCCAGGGGAGGCTCAGGTTGGCAATGAGGAGACATTTCTGCTCAGCAAGAGCGCTCAGGCCTTGGGACGGGTTGCCCAGGGAGGTGGGGGAGTCCCCGTCCCTGGGGGTGTTCAAGGAGAGGTTGGACGTGGTGCTTGGGGACAGGGCTTGGGGGGGACATTGGTGGTAGGGGGACGGTTGGAGCAGGTGATCTTGGAGGGCTTTTCCAACCTTAATGATTCTGTGATTGTATTATTCTATGAAATACCTACAAACAAACTTGGAGCCAGTCTTCTTAAAATTCCCAAAGCTCCCTCACTTCCATCTCCTTTTCCCCCTTTTCTCCCAGTTGTCATTCCACGCAAAGCCAACGTTCCCTGCTTCCTTCAAGCAAATAGAGGTCTGATCCTGCTTCCAGACTCCCAGCGAGGCTGTGGGTTTTGGGAGAGAGAGGGGAGGTGAAGGAAATTTGGGTTGGAGGCTCCAATCCCACGTCCTTTGGTTGGAGAAACCAAACCTGAGCTTCTTGTCTCCAGGTTGCTTCTCCCTCCAGCTAACCGTAACCGGCTGTGCAGCCTCCACGGGAAGGATTTAGGAGGAAATCTCAAGGAATTGTGGTGCAATTAATGAGGGAGAACATAACGAGCAGCACAGTTAATGGGGAGAACACCAAAGAAGGAGCTGACATGGGAACTTTAGTGAGACATTTGTTTTTGGAGAAATCATATATTGAAATCTGAGGAATGACTTGAAAATGACTTTAGGAATGACTTGAAAATCCAGACTCTGGGGTGCAACCAGGACATTAATTTTCTGGTTTTTGGTCCCCTGAGCATCCCCTGGTGGGATCCCTGTGCTCACCCCCATGGCAGCACCACCCCTCCTGCAGCAGGAGCCCCCCATGCTGCCTCCCTGCACGTAATTCATCCATTTATCCTCTTGCATGCTTTCCCATGCACCTCTCCTCTGGCACCCCATGCCCCAAAATAAATTCCCGTGCGTCTTGAGCCCAGGGCCAGGGAGCAAGGGATGTCTTGGATGGGTCTCCTGATTTCTGCCTGGGGCTGTGGGATCCCGAAATGACACAAGTGGAGGGATTTGGCCTCCCAAAGTGTATCTGACTGGTCCTGGCCTCTTGTGGCAGCCTCTAATGAAGCATCCCCAGCCAGGTGAAGTGGGAGAAGGCGCTGGGGAGAGGAGGAGGGGGCTCATCTCCAGGCTGCAGTAGGTTCGTTCAGTCCTGGCTGTTGTATTTGCACAGGGAAAAAAAATAAATCAAGGCCGTGCTGGTCTATATCTGGCCAATTTCAGTCTGGAGTTCCTGACAGGTGACCCCAGGGTACGGTTGCATGCTCTCAGTGCTTATTTTTGACATCGTAATCCAAATTGACGTTCGGTGCTTGAATATACAATAAGTTCATTACAGCTAAACCCTCCGGCTCAGGGATTTCCTGTTGGTAAGTCTCGGAAAATCAGGATTCCCAGTGGTATCGGGCTGAAAACGCTCGCAGATAAAATTCAAGTTAGCGAGTTATGCCAAAATGTTTTGGGAGGCGAAGCGGAGCTGCGTTTTCTGCCCGGCGCAGCGATGCTTTCCCCTTCCTCCTTGCTTGGGCCTGGAGATGGAGGCCCCTGCCCTGCGCAGCTCCCAGATGGGGTCTCAGCATTGCTCCCGAGAGAAACTCATTAAAAAACATCCAACATCCTATTAAAAAATGGAGGAGGAATCCACGATCCTATGGCCAAGCACGTGTCTGAGTGTGTTTCTAGAGCCTAAACTGCTGCCTCTCAGCCCATTTTCTAAGGAGCAAGGGAAAAATCCACACTGTGTGCTAGGGAAACAGCCTCAATAAGCTGATTTATCAAGATCTGTATGATATATATAAGATATATAAGATATATATAAGATATAAAAGACTTATAAGGCTTGAGATGCCCACGTTAGCACCATCAGTGGGTTGCATCCCCCACATTTCCCCATCCATATGAGGGTTGCAACACAGCAGGGCTGCTGCCCAGGCCCTTGACCTGCCGGTTAATAAGCTGTTATGATGAGGTGAGAGCTTGGCTGGGTTTTATCCGTGCCCATCTGGCACACGGACAGCATCTCCTCCACCTCCACCTCCTCCCCGCGATGAAACCGATGCCCCGCACAGATACCTCGCTCTCCGCCCGATGGGTCTCAGCTGGGGTTTTCAAATGACCGGTGGAATTTGAGGCTGTTTTTTTTTTTTATTATTTTTTTTCCCATAAGATGAGTGGAGACTTTTTAGAGTCCCAAAGGAAAGCATGAAGTGGCTCCTCTTGGGAGCTGAGTGGCAGGAGATGAGCAGGGAGCTTCCCCAAGGCTGTTGCAAAACAGAGATGCATCTGCTGCAAAGCGTGAGCAAGGCAGGATGCACAAGGATGGGAAATAATTCCTACCTTCCTTGGGAAGGTGTTAGCAGTCAGGAGTGCCTGGTTTCAGGTCCACGCAGTGAAAAGTTGTGCAGGAGCATCCCAGGAGGAGACAAGGAAAAATTAGGTTTGGAAACAGTGAGCCCCAATGAGAGCTCCTTTAGCTGAGAAAAGAGATGTGGCAGTGAGGATTAAGAAATGTGTGCACACAACAAATTTCAACCTTGTATATTTTAGAAAAAAAATAAAAATAAATCAGAACTGTTGAAGAAGAGAATATCAGCAAAGTTGATCCAAGACGATAATCCCTGCTCCTGGAGGGTCTGAGAAGAGGTAGCATCATCCAAATTTTTTTGGAAGATGCTAGCCATCATCCAAGAAAACATTTTCAGTTTGACCTGAGGTTGCTCAGGGCTTTGTCAGGAGGGTTTTGAAGATCTTCAGGGCTTGATATGCCACGACCTGTTCCCCTGTTCCTGCCTCAGCAATGTAGGGTGGTCTTTAGAGGCTCCCAAACTCCTTTCCAGCTTGGTGTTTTTGTTCCTCCAGATCACACGTATCCGCAATTCCCCCAGAATTCAATAAAACAAGCTTAGGAAAAAGGAAAAAGGTTGCTATTCTTTCCTCCCCTGGTGGTTTTTAAGTTTTACACATCTTAAACCCAATTAACTCGCTAGTCACTGGAAGTGTAGCATCCTCTGTGGCTCCTGTGAGAAGAGCGTGCTAAAAGCAGGATTATCACTTGCAAGAGCCGCACGAGAACAAACACGGTGAATTTCCTGCCGGAGCACAGGACCTTCTGGGGAGGATGAGCTCTGAGCTCTGCAAAAAGAACCATCAAGGACTTGGAAAGTT